AGACTTTCCAACCCGCCTGGACACGTTCCTGTGGGGCTGCCCTGGGTGACCCTGCTCTGGCAGGGGGTGGCACTGGGGGATCTCCAGAGGTCGTGTGCTCTGCTTTGGAGGGCAGGCAGCCCCTGAGAGCGTGTTACGTGGTGCTGGAGGTGTTGGGAATCCCTCTGCCCTCACCGCAGAGCCGTAAGGAACATATCGCACTGCCAGAAATGAGAGCTTTTGCTCAAGCTTTGCGTCTGAGCAGGCGGGAAGAGGAGCGTTGGGAATATGAGCTTAACGGTGTTTGTGTCCTGTTCAATGCTGCCTCGGACGCTAACAACCCGGCTCCAGACTCGCTCACTGGGGAGGACTCTCTGCTTGACTGTTCTCTGCTTTCTAACCCTGCCGCTGACCTCGTGGACGAGTTTGCTCCTGTAGCTTTCGCAGCTCAACCTCACAAAGGTAAAAACCGCCCCTTTGCCTCTAACACTTCATCGCTCCTGGGACTTGGGTTTGTCTGTTGGGGAGCGAAGCCGGCACAGCGTTACGTGAGCGGATGCTCTGCCCTGTGTTCTGGTGATGTTTAGGTTTTGGATTTGGTTTTCTTTTTTTATTCCCTCAAACCATTGTTTTGTTTTCTTCCCAAACCGATAAAACTTGGAATGCACGTTGAAGTACTAAGGGAAAAATAGAGATAAAAGTATTCAGCTTGACTGTAAAGCCAAAGTTTGTCGAGACAGGTGGCGTCTTCGGTGAAAGAGGGAAAATGCAGAAGGGATATGGGAGCCTGAAAGGGCTTTTGTGTGCAACCCTGCTGAAGGCTTGTAAGTGGACACAGTCCTGTTTTCCTTTTCGCACGTGGGATTTAAGACCTGCTTTTATGCTCCATTATTAATTCTGAACAGAAGCCTGATAATCATCTCTACCGGTGTCACGGGGTTTTGAAACGAAAGGATTTTTTTTAATTTTGGTCAGAGTTAGCAGCCGAGGTGAGTGAGCTCTGTCAGATCTAGAGAACATTTTCCTTTTTGGGAGTCATCAGGAGAAGGTTCCCGAGTCCAACTGCAGTGTCGCAGCAAATATGAATGAAAGTGCAGGATCTGACTGAGGTTTGGAATGGTTTCACAGTAACACAGAAACGCAGAGCAGGAGGAGAGCAGCAGAGCACGTGGGGTAATTCCCAAGAGCCGCAGATCAGCCCTGGCGGCTCATCGGCGTTTGAGCTGGAGTGGAAATGCTGCGCAGTGGTGGCAGTTCTGGCCTCTTCCCTCTGCCAAGCAAGAGTAGAGGACCTGGGGGAGCTGGGTCCCAACTCGGGCGGCGTTTTTGGTGATAGAAATCCAGGTGGCAGGGCAGGACCTCTGTGGTATTTATTGCCTCGGATAGAGAGGCCCCGAGCACGAACACGAACCACTGGGTGCGCTGTGACGCTGAGTTCTGCTCAGCTCCTCTGGTGAGCATCCCTACAGCAACAGCAGGTGATCTGTCCTCGGAGGGATTGCCGTCAAAACAGCCCCCTAATCGATTTCGACGCTTGACGGCTCTTCAAAATGAGTTTGTGTTTTTTCGTAGAGCTTTTGGGTTTAAACAAGCAGCCGCTCTAACTGCTCGCTGCTGTAATACACTCTCTGTGCCGCTTTATTTGGAGGTAACGCCTTGAAATGTGCTTGAACAGTTTCCGCTTCGTGTCTGGAGCGTAGCGAAGCCAGAACGTTGCTGGTGTGACTTAATGAGCAAATGAATTAACAGGCTCCTGCGCAGCTTCTCCCAGGCTGCCCCGCTGTTCCCTCCGGCACAAGGAAGGCTCGCGTTGGACGAGGAAAATGAGACTCGTGGCAGGGAAGAGAAATAGGAAAATCTTCCCCAGACTCCTCTGTGGCTTCTTTATCAAGCCCTGCTTTTAGAGCTCCAGGTGTGATCGTTAACTGTACATCTCAATCTTTTTTTTTGCTTGCTGTTTCTCTGGCGTTGGGGATGTGAAGCACCTCTGGGGCAGGTGCTGCTGTCCCTGGGTGTGATCGCCCCGGGGGAACCAGGAGGATGGGAAAAAGCAGCCGTGGTCTCAGCAGCAAGGTGGTCCCTGGTGGAGCAGTGCTCCCGCAGCAGGTTCCGGTGCAGCAAACTCCAGAGCTCTGAGCAGCTGTACGTGTGCGTGCGGTGAAATTGGGTTCTTGCAAAGGCTCTCGGGCAGTTTGAGAAGAGCCGCAGATAAAAAACTCCAGGGACAGAGCGAGGACAACAGGAGATGTTCTGTTGTTACGGTTTTGACGCTTTACCGGCTACTTTCCTGTAGAGTTTGTGCCTTTATTTTCTGAGCCTGATCCTCTAGAGGACGGGGTGTTGCCACGAGTGCTTTCTTGCATCATCTCGCCCCAAACCTGGTAGCGTCTTTAGGCAAAGAGCTTTTAGTCTTTATAGGAGTCAAACAAGGATGTTCCTGTTCCTTGGAAACCATCGACTTGTGTGTGTCCGTGCGAAGCTTTCACAAAAATTCCGTGTAGTAACTGAGGCCCAATTTTGGGAAGGTATTATAGGTATTACAGGTGTCTAAAGTAACGAGTAGATACGTCAGATGCACAGCAGAGGTGTTGGAAGTCCCTAAAGGCACGGAATTGCCTGATAAGGCAGATAAATGCTTCCCCTCCTGTGGAGGTTGTTGGAAGTGCCTCCCACCAAGCGTCTGTCTCCTGTTGACGTGGTTTGAAATCAAGGGAATTACGTGCCCGAACGGCTCCAGGCACCTTGACAAAACGTCCCTGTTGGTATCTAGTTCTGCCTTCAGACATTTGAACTCCTGGGAAACCTCACTTCACGTGGGCGCTTCTTGTTTTGTCGCTGTAGGGGAAGGCTCGGGGGTCTGACTCCGGCAGCTGGCAGGGATTCCTTCTGGGCCTGTGGTGGCGTTTGGTTTTGTTTCGGTTTGGTTTTATTTCCCCCAGCCCTTTACTTCTCCCTGTGCGAGAAAGGTGATGGCTGCAGAGCCAGATCGCGCCCTCCAACTGTCCCAACACCTGATGGCGCAGAAACCGTCAGTCCTTGGGTGCTCGAGCCTCAGGCTTTTACCGCAGCTCAGACTGGCCACGTTTTGTTTGGGTTCTCATGACTTCGCTTGCTTTTTCTTTCTTTTTTTTTCCCCCCTTCCACTTTTGTATTTAATTGGCTTTCTTACTTCTTGCCTTCTTTACCAAAGACTTAACCAACTTGATTTCGTCTTTTAATTGAAACGCTTGCTTCTAAACCCTGTCTCTGAAAACGTGAAGATGTTCTAACACTTCTCAGCGATTCTAACCAGCCTTCTCTGCTCTTTGCTTCTTTACCTCTGTTTCTCCTTTATGCTGCAGAAGATACTAACCTGATATCAGGCTTTGATGCTCCTGAGGGCTCTGAGAAAGTGACAGAAGATGAGTTTGACCCAATTCCAGTGTTGATATCCAAAAATTCACAAGGTAAGCCAGGAGGTGGGCGTGAAAAAGGGAAGGAAAAAAAGGAAAACGGTGAACGCGAATTAGCTGTGGGGCAGCACACGTGGAGTAGGATTTAGTGAGCTTAGTCTTTCTCCAGTTTCCATTGGCCTTGAAATTTCTCTGGGTTCTCTGTCTGTGAGAAGATGTCATGTCCCAAAAAAGATAGCAGATCCCATGAAGTAAGCTCCTCCAGCCTGCCAGGCCGGGCACACGCAGCGACGTGGCTCAATAAGCCATTGAACGGTCTTTCTGAGTGGTCAAGCCAGTGAAAGGTCGGTCCTTTGACCCTTAAATCAGCTTGGCCTGAGGTGCGAGAAAGGGAGATGATGAAAATCCTTCATAACTCTCAACCTCCCGCTGAAATTGAGCTGGTTTGGTTTTTTTTCCCCTTCACTTTGACTCGTGTCTTTCAAAGGTGCCCGTGGGAAGCTCCGTAGATGGTCCCCACCTCCTTTGAAAAGCTTTGAGCAGTCGGAGGCCGTAGGACAGATAGGGACAGTTTGTCCTTGTCACCCGGGTCCCGTTAACATGATCTTTACAGACACTTTCCGCCTTACCTAGGGATAAGCCTGAGCAGCAGCAGCAGCAGCACTGTTTGCTTAAAAGAAATACTAGTGCTTCAAAGAAATAAATACCAGTGCTGCGTTTTGGAGCTCTTGCAGGGCTGGTGTTTGCAGGTTGGTCAGTCAGACCGGTCTCCTCTCTGCAGCCCAGCTGTTGAAAAGTTTCAATTCCAGCATTCAATACGCTGGCGGAGGTTTTAAAAACATACTCCAGGGCTCCCTTATTTTATTTTTTCCTCCTTTTTTTTTCTTTGGTTTGATGGTAGAACTTTCTTGACTCCCCCTTTTGTTTGCAGCGTTACCCGCCCTGCATCTAACTCTTAATTCCCAGAGGCTGACGCTCATTAGGAAAAGTTCTCAGACATTAGGAACTCGGCTCCTGCTGCAAGTCAGAGGAGATTTCTAGAGTAAAGAGGAGCATCTGCCCTTCTGAATCCTAGTCCCAGCTGTAGAAAGCCACGGGGCAGCTCAGGTCTGCTTGAAGTAGCCGGCAACGCAAAGATGCTCTTAGAACAGCGACTCGTTTTCAGGATTTACAAGTTTGAGCGGCCCTTTCTGTAGGCTCTGGGGGTTCTGGTCGTTGCCTCTGTAGATCCTTTAGTAAGGACACAGATCTGCAGCTTGGATGTAAACCTTGGGGGGAGAAAAAAAAGAAATGGTTTGTAGAGAACGTTGGGTGCCACAAGGTTGGTTTTTTCTGCACAAATGTAGGTTGGGCGAGTGGGGAGAGGGTGGCAGAGCGAGCCAGGGGCTGCCGCTGGCGTGGAGCGAGGGGTGCGAAGAGCTCAGGCAGATTTTCTGTTTTGCTCTGACTTTTTTTTCTTGCTTGCTTGCTCTTGAACATCTGAAACTGTCGTGTGTGTGTGTGTCCTGTTCAATACTGAATTCCTATCTCTCACACTTCCAGGTGGGCATTCTAGAAACAACAGTGGAAGCTCTGAGTCCAGTCTTCCCAACATAGCCAGGTCTTTGCTGCTGGTGGATCAGCTCATAGACCTGTAGCAGTGACACAGTAGCAGACGCAGTTTCTGTAACGTACCTAATCCTCCGTTTTCGTTTCCAGAAGAGTTACCTTCAGTTGTGGTTCTTTTGGGCTTTTTTTATTTATTTGTTTCATTTTTATTTCTTTTTTTTTTGTTTTTTTCCTTAATTGGAAGAAAAACCAATCTGCCGACGGGAGCCAGTCACCCGCCTTTCTCCCTGTCCTCCCCTGCCCTGGGGAAGATTTCTCTCTCAGTTCTCTAAAGCTGCTAAAAAAACCCAAACAACAACCCGTGGTGGTTCCTTCTGCCCCGTCTCTAATCGCCCACGTCTTAGCCGCCCCGCTGAGATGTCTGTGTGGCACCACGAAAAGCCCGGCTGTAAACGAAATAGATAATTGTAGCTGCTGTATGACCCCACCTACAACAGACTCCTTTCTCCTTAGAGTAGCGCCGGAGCCGCTTTGGTGGTTTTTTTGGGGGGGGTTGGTTTTTGCTCCTGTTTCCGGGTCACCAGGCGGGAGGAAGGGGCTGGATGACGTGGGTAGGGACGTCCCTCTCCTGCGGGGTACGGGGTTAGGAGAGCCGACGGTTCTAAGCGGGCAGGATGGGCTTCAGAGGAGGAGAAAGCGCCGAGTTCCTCTGCGGTAGCCTTGCCCGGTCCCTCTGGTGAGGAAGAGAGTTTTTCTGGACTGCCCCCAGCTCGTGGTTTGCTGTGTAATGATCCTGCTTGGGAACAAACTTGCGCTTTCCATGGGGGAGGGAGAAAAATAAAGGAAAAAAAATTAAAACAAAAAATCAACGAAAAGAAAAAGAGAGAAAAAAACCCCAAAACCGCTCGTTAAAAGCTGCAAAAATGACCCTCAGTGAAATATAACGAGGTTTTGAACCAAATCCATGTGTGGCCATGACGAGCATTTTGTTCACCTGGGTTTTGGCCAAAAAGGGCATTGTGGCAGCAGCAGATGTATTTTCTGTGACTTCTTTTCTGTGTTTGACTAGAAGGAAAAAAAAAAAAAAAAGAAAAAAAAAGAAAGAGTATCCCCCCAACCTGCTGTAAATCGTGTATGAAACCAATCGTCCTGCGGTTGTTCGTCTATTTTTAATCCTGGTTTTGGTCGAGCATCTGGTATCTGTCCTGGGTTCCCCGTTTTCTCTTGTAACCGCATCTAGTGCAAGCGAGTTCAGTGCGGAACCATTCGTCCCGGCAGACAAAGCTCCCCGTGGACTTTCTGCCACTCCTCGGGCTCTGCGCACCCGGCACGCACTTGCTTCAGACGGTTCGAAATAAGTGCTGCTACGCCTCGGTGGGTTCTCCCTTCTTTCTTTTTCCCTTCCCACGCTTAGTTCGTCGACTAGCTGGATACGCTGCCCTCGTTTCCGTTGGCTCACGGTCACGGGATTTTGTATCTTGTGTTTGAAAGCTCTTTCTGAACGGAAGGACTCTTCCTCTGTAGTGGAACAACTCCTAGCTTCCTGCTACCCTTGTGTACGTGTATGTAGCTGTAGTAGTAAAAGTGCAGTTTCCCATGTGCGAAAGTACGAACGACTGTCCCGTGTATGTACCGACCTCTCGCCGAGAAGGGAAGAAATCAAAGCTCGTGACTCCTCCTTTCCGATCTCCAGCCCCCCCTTTTCCGACACTTAGTTTAACCAATTCTGTAAATAGCCCTCCCATCGGTTTGTGTCTGCTCTACATTACTCTTCTTTTAAAACCTACACTTAATAATAAAAGTATTGCTTAAGTGTGTCGTATCATTACATGTGTATACTGCACTTTCCAAGAGAAGCTTTACATGAGAAACTATGGAAATGACCTTAGTTAAAATTGTGGATAGAACTTTATTATTTTTTTGTTTTATATTCCTAAAGCACAGGCAAGCTGGACTGGAAAAACATGAAGACGCTATAGATAGAAAGTTATTGTATAGTCAGATACCGAGATTATATGAAAAGAGAATGGATTTTAAAAAGTAACCATCTACTGTATATTAGAAACAAAGATTTCTGTGAATTAAAAGTACTTTTAAAGAATGTTTAAGATTTTAAATCTAATGGCGCTTGTTCAAGGGTTCTGGAAAAAAAATTATAAATGCACTGGGTTGTTAATAATGCTATTAAATAAGCAGATGTGAATGTTTATTTTATGGCTTTTTCAAGTAGCTGTTCATGGAGCTGGGTGGGAAGCACCAGGCAGTGGAAGTGCACATTGCGAGAGGTGTCTGTTCTCTAGACCTCGCCCGTCAGAAAATCCTCGGCACGCGTCTGAGGAGTGAGTGGAAAGCGCGAGAGGGATGAAGTGAGCGGTTCTTGGCGATTCATTCCGAGCTCTCCCGAAACCGTGGCCGTCCTACGGGCGTCAGGTTCGTGTTGGTGCGTTGCTCAGAAGTGCAAGGGGTTGTGGAAAAGCTGCTGCTGTGAAGGAGCAAATTGAACTTTGAGGCCGTGTCCCCACGGGAGACGTTTGGTCCCCGGCGCTCCCCAAACGGCGTCAGAAGGATTCCCTCTGAGAGCCGTGCTTGGAGTGGTGGGCGCTGTGCGTGTCCCTTTTTAAGAGTGACAGGGTCAGGTGGTGTTCGAAACCAGAGCGGGACTGAGCTCCTGGTGGTGTTCTTGGTGTTAACTGTTTCCATGGATCCTCCCGGCAGGATACAACGAACGCAACCACAGTTCCATGGAACAAGTCGACGTTGTGCTTTGGATTCAAGAATAAACTGGGTTTGGGGTGGCGAGACATTCGAAGGAATAGTCGGAACTCTGGTGTCACGTCTTGGGTTTCGAACTTTGGAGATCTCCCCCGTTCCTCTTTTAGCCCAGTGAGCACAAGCGTTGTACCCGCAACTGGGAGATCAGCAAACCTGGGCGGTCCCTGACAGCACCGGCTGGGGTGGGAGCGTCTGTCCCCAAAGCAGCAGGAGCTGGGGCTGCCCTGGGCTGGGGCTGCGGGCACTGCGCAGCCCGCTGGAGAGTCTGAGCTGGGCGGGAGAGTCTTGGCGCTGGGGGCTTGCCCTCTGACAGCGCCGTTCCCGCAAGCTAATGGCAGCTCAAGTGAGTCCCGAGTGTTTTTTAGAGGGGGCTTCTCGTCAAGGCGTGATGATGACGTGCTTCAGCCTGACAGCTCGCAGCACATTGCTCCTGGTGAGTTTCCAAAACCACCTTATGTAGAAATTGATTGAAAAAAAAAAGAAAAATGTTATTACAATGGAAGCTCAGATACGATTTGGGCCAAAACCAGAGTTCAGCAAGTTTTGGTGTGTCCAAGCAAACGTAAAATGTGGAGCGTGGGGGCCTCCGAGTACGGAAATGTCAGCGAGCGCATCGCTGCAGTAGCGTCTGATTCGTGCGCGGCTGCGTGGAGTTACCTTCTTTTTAGTCGATATGTTCCCAAGTTTGGGAGCTCGTCGGAGCTGGGGGGTGCCTGGGGTGGCCCAGGAGGAAGCAGGAATATGAAGGGGCTGGGGGAGCGCTCTGAGGGCTGAGGCTTTATCCACCAATCGGTCACCGGTGCTGGGGTGCGCTGAGTTTCCGTGGTGGTGTGTGGGCGCTAAAACTGCATCATCGCTCCCGGGGGAAATGCAGATGGAAAGAAAAAAAAGATTTTCTTTGCCTTTATTTTCTGTTCCTGTGTAGTCTATTTCCGTAACTGCAAAGCTGCGCTCCAGGGACAGCCGTGCCTACGCGTGGCAGAGCGTGTGCGCGGCGACGGGTCTCGCTGTTCCTCGGAGGGAGCGGGGGGTGCTCGGCCGGGGTTGGTTTAAGGGCGTCGCTGATGGGTGAGACCCGCAGGAGGGAGTTTAACCCCCTAGAAAGCCACCTTATATTTTTCTCAGACACTCCCAGACTGCAGCTTCAAAACGTGTCACGGGCGCGACGCGTGGCTCGTGGGCGGAAACCCGGGCGATGCCGCTGGTCTCCGGTTGAGTCCCTCTTGTTCGTGAGCGTGTGGGGCCGGAGGGTGTCACATCTGCCCCGTCTCGATGGTGCAAATGAGCTACGAGCGTGCCCAAACTGGAACGTGAAATCCCTTCTCTCCGGAACCGAAGATCTGCTCCCGGATCCGCCGCTGGGCAGTCACTTTGGGCAGAAACGCTGGATTCTGCTGTGGAGCGGCACTGCCGACCGTTGGCGTCGCGCTTTGACACCTCCTGGCCGAAGCGCCGTGTGGGCGCGGTTCCGTGTCGGTGCTGTGTGACGATGCTGCTTCGAGGGATCGGAATACAAGGAAAAACTCTCACTGTCAAGAACAAAGGGAAGAAGTCTTTTGACTCTTTTTAAATGCCCGACTAATCATCTTACGTACCAGTAGTTGTGCTCATTTTTAGCTGCCTGTTACTCTGTGGTGAGACCTTCCTGAAGGGAGTTTTTTGGTTTTTTTGTGTTTAGGGTCTGGGAATGCCTCGCTCTCGCCTGACGTTCTCCTTTTGGGCTCCGCTCCAGCAGTGAGATCATCATCCTGGTGACTGCTCTGCCTCCCTGCAGCAGGAACAGTGAATCTGTTGCAGCTTTCCTGTCAGTTCCTTCAGTCCTTTGCCACATCCGTGCACAGTTTCTCTTAAAAGACGGAGCTCAGGGGTAAATGGTCTTTTTTTTTGAGGTTACTAGCTACAGGGTGTATTCCTGGGGTGCCGAGCGGTAAGTCTTGATGTTACTGAGGCTCTCCCTGCAGAAAGGGAGCCACGATATAGTTTAGGAATCGTTTCTTTGGTACGTGTATCAGTCGCCGGAATAAAAAATGGTGCAGGGATGTTGTACAGAGTAAACCTTCTGCTATAAATTGGAGCATCTGGAAGGATTCTGTGCTGCGAGGCTGGCAGCTGTTGGGAGCGTGCATGTGTTAATGGACAGCGTGAGGGATGCTGCGCTGGGCAGTGACGCAGAGATCTCGGGAGGGCAGAGCAGGAGAGGACAAAAGAGGCAGCTGCCCCCACAGAACCGGGGCTGGGGGTGCTGTGTGCGCTGATGCAAGCGAGCCGTCTGCCTGCCTCTTTTCCTGCCCCTCGCACAGAGTGTGAAAGGGAGCCCGGGCGTCCCGGAGAAGGGGCAGGGCTTCGAACAAAAAGGCGCTGTCTTGGTTCCAGGAGTTTTGTCCTTTACCCTCCCGCTGTTACCAGCTCACGGAGTGACCTTTCCTGTAACACAGAACAAAACCTCCGCGCCTTTTCCTGTGAAACCGTCCCTCAAGCGCTTTGGTCTGTGACCTCAGAGCTGCCAGAGCACCCGTGGGCGCCGGCTGACTCCAGTTCTCTCGTGCCTCTGACCCGCTTGTCTGCCAAGCCCGTGGCTATGGCTGGCAGGGGAACACACGACCCTGTCTCGTTAGCGCTCACCTGACCTTTACACAAAGGAGTTGGGGTTTTTTTTTTTGTTTGATTGCACTTTTCCGTGTCTGAGCATAGCTCAGGCCTTTTTTCAATGTATGGGATTAACGACTGTGAGAGGAGGGGTGTCTGCACCGCTGCCTAGTGAGACGTGCGCCCGCATGTCAGCTGAAGTAGAACGCTGGCGTGACGTCGCCTTCAGCGTTGTGATGCTGCCGTAGCTCCTCCTGGGACTGTCCCTTCGCTTTTCTGCTGAAGGAAACAAACCGAGGGAACCCAAGAACGTGGAAGCCCGAGATGGGTTCCCGTGGGACAGTGTCTGAAGGCAGCCCTTCCTCCTTCAGAGTGCACGCGGCAGCGCGGGCGGTGCTCCTCTTGTCAGAAAATCCCTGAACCTCTCGGGTAACCTGCTGCGTTTTGCTGTCGCTGTGCCCATGGTTGGGGTTTAAGTTATTGGGGCCCTTCCCTTCTCGCTGTATTGGGCTGAGACTGGCTCCTACCACTCCCTCACAGAGTGATTCACAACTCCGGTACCGGCCTTAGCAAGGGAAGGAGCTGCTTCCAAGCATTCAGTGTCCTTCTCATGGTGGGCAGAGAGAGCAAGAAAGTATTGGAAAAAGTAATTTTTCTGAAAATCGAGGGTTCTGCCTGCCATACAGTTCCTCCGAGTTCAGCGACAAGCGCTGCTCCTGTCCTAAGCAAACAGGTTTTTCTCTTTATCCTAAATGCCATCGCTTACGTGATTGCGGACACCTCCTGGTGCCGGTAACCCTTTCAAAAGAAAATCGAGATGTGATGACTTGCTCATGCTGTTCTTGTGAAAAGCGGACCGTTGCTTTGCATTGCCGTAGTGTTTGCCGTGATAAATGCCTTCTTCCTTCCCTGGTTTTCCCGTGCGCGTTATTTCGATGACGCCCGGCTCACTCAGAGGCGCTCGTGTGATGGGGCACTGCTCTCGCTCTGCTTCAGCCCGCGCTCTCAAAATCTCACAATAATACCTGATAATAATACCAAGCTCCTGGAAGAAAACCGCACTGTAGCTGTGCTGTTCCTGTAATCTGAGATTAACATCTAAGGTTGAACCTTGCTGCCAACATAGGCTTCAGGAAAGATGGATCGTGTTTTTCTAGAGTAATGTTCACATACCTACACTGTCTTTACTCAGCAGTGCGACGTATCTAAGGTGATAGTTTCCCAATAAATGCTGGTTTTGATGCTTAATGAACGACTGACGTGTCTTTAATTGTGAGGGGGCGCTGGGTAGGACCTCACTTGACAATCGCTCAGCAGATACCAACCCACCCCCTTCCCCTCCTCGTCCTTCCTGCGATTCGTACTGCTCAGTTTTCACGTGCCTTTTTCCTGTCCTCTCGCTAACATGAGTCCAGTGGCAGACTCCTAACGGGCAAATAGTTCTCCGAAGGTAAGATATCTTCTGTTCTGTCTGTGTGAGTCGTAAGGCAAACCCGGCCCCACCTTGGGCTCTCGTTAGCTGGAGAAGAGCGGAGCAGCGAGCCTCTCCCCACACCGTCTCGTTACGCTAACGCAGAAGCAAACCGGAGCGTGGTGTTAGATGCCTGATTCGACGTTGTGGCATGGAGTCTTTAAAACCATTTGTCTCGCAGTGGTTTAAAACGATGCTGCTATAGTTACGGGGATTCGTTAAAAGCTATAGGTCGACCCCATTCTTGGAAGGGGGTGTGTGATTTTGGCAGGTTTTAGGGCATCCCCAGCTGTTTTCCATGCCCGAGTGTAATTCCACGTATCTGTGGGATGGCTCACAGAAACAGAGGCTCCGCCAAGCCACACGTCTGCTCGTAGGGCAGCCGACAGCGACGACGCAGAAACGAACGACAGAACCGGTCTGTTTGCTGGAGCTCCACTCTAGCAGCACCGTTCCGAAGTGAAGGCCTCTCTGATGGCGGTCGCCGTCGTGAGTGGCAGAGAAAAACTTGTGGAACAGTGCTGAGAGTGCTGGGTGTGCCCATTCATGTGTCCAACATCTTCCATCTCTTCCTGAAAACTGGTGCTTGTGGTGTCCCCGAGCTGTGAGGCAGCGCCGAGCCGTGTGTCGGGCTGTGTGTGTCATCAATACTTGCCCTGGCATTTTTTTTTTCTTTCCCTTTGATTTGCCTTCCCTCTCCTTCCCATTTTCCGTGTGCGATTGTGGTTTAAGTCTGAGCGGCATGACTTTTCTTGTGTCCTAAGTACCTTACGTTCTTGTTTATGACCAGGGAGATGGAACGTGTCGAATAACATCCTTCTCTTGTGTTTTTAGGTCTGCCGAGGGATCCCGCCCTGTTCCCAGTCGCAGCTCTTGAACTCTGTAAAGGACCTTCTGGCAGTGACGGACTCGCCCTGTACAAGGGTCCGTCTGAGATGTCGGAGGTGAAGACGCATCACAACTCGGAGCCGGATTACCTAACGAGAGATGGGCCTTCAAGCAACAGCTCCTTCTACAGCAGCGAAGGAGAGGGGACGGACCACGAGGGAGATATTTTGGATTGCAGCGGGTCCAGGCCTTTACTGATGGATTCGGAAGAGGAGGAGGAAAGCTGCAAATTGTGCACGGGGTTCCTGCAGTCCGTGCCCAGGGAGAGGCGCGAGGCCTCCAAGGAAGATCCCCACAACCAATCTTCCCAGAGCAGAGCGGGCGAGGCGCCGTTCCCTGCCTTCCAGTCGCACACCGGGGAGGTTTTTAACGAGCCAGATGTTTTTGCCACGGCTCCTTTCCGAAGCTCGAGAAAAGTGCCGGATGAGGTGGATGTCTTTACCAAAGCTCCTTTTATCTCCAAGGGCAATAGACACCCGGAAGAAGCAGATGTGTTTCTGAGAGCACCTTTCACTAAAAAGAAAAGTGTGGAGGAGCTGACTTCCCACAGTACGTCGAAGGAACCGTTCGCACCACCCGCCTTCCTGAGCCAGGGAGGCGACGTCCAACCCAGAGCCAACCCGCTGTTCCCAAGCCTGGATTCGGCGACGCGCGGCTCCGCGGCCCCGGCCAGGCCTCAGTATCCTTCTGC